TGGTTGGATAGAGAGAATAGAGAACTTTGTACACCATATACTTGATATGTGTAAACATCTCATCCAACTTCAAGGCCGCACCATCAAAACGAATTGCATTTCGAGTTCGCCATATCCAATATATAGTGTAGCTAAATGCTATTCTTGTTGCTTTGGCTCTAATATGCGCTCCTTTGCACTCCCTTTGGGTCCACTTCACCACGCTCTTCAAGGATGCCATTTGTCTTGAGATACCAAGTCGATCTTTGACATTATTCCAAAGCTGCCCTGTACATGTACAATCAAAATATAGGTGTGGTACCGTCTCCGGGTCACCCTTACAGAATGGACAAACATTAGCAACATCAAGATATATCATGTTATCATACGTTGGCAGCCTATTCCGAAATGCTAACCACATTATGAATGAGAATTTTGGAGGGATGTAATCCTTCCAAATGAAAGACATCCACGCATGTGGTGTGGCTTTAAGTCTAAGAAGATCATATACCTTGGAAGAAGATAATTTACCATTAAAAATCATCTTTTCAAGGTATGTAGTGGTCTCGGCTATAGAAGAGAATTTTGAGACAATCATGTCACGTATCAAAACCAATCTCTTCATTAATTGTGAGTCCCTATTGTGTGGAACAAAGGTCCACACACAACCCCCATTTAGGTATACCCCATGAACCCACCTTACCCAAAGAGAGTCTTGTTTTGAGTGGATATTCCATAGAGTACGAGATAGTAATGCGTTGTTCCAAATCTTTGTGTCCCTAATACCTAGACCTCCTTCCTTTTTAGGTAAACATACATCTTCCCAAGCCACTTTTGCATGCTTTCCCCCCCAAAGAAATATACGAAAAAGGCTTGTAATTCTATCCAAAATGGTTTTAGGAACCGGAAAGATTCCTAGCCAAAAAGATTGTACCCCTTGTATGACAGACTTTATCAACTCAACTTTCCCCGCATAAGATAAGGACTTGGTATTCCATGCATTTAAATAATCTGTAACCGTATCAATCAAAGGAGAGAATTGGGCTACAGAGATCTTAAGAGGGGCCAATGGTATACCTAGGTACCTTACAGGAAAGGATCCTTGTTGAAAGTCCACCAACTGTAGAATGGCAGGTAGCCTATTTGCTATGTTTCCTCCTACAAAGATATTATTTGCTATGTTTCCTCCTACAAAGATATTGGATCCATATATACATATATATATATATATATATATATATATATTCATATATACATATATATATATATATATATATATATATAATGGAGGCAAATAAATCAAACCTCCTTTAAGAGAACTTTGTTCACTATGAGACGTTGAGTTCAGCGGGGTTGAATTTATACAAAGATGTTGTCTATTTCTTTTGGGTCGTGCACGGGATATTGATGGAGCACTCTCATCCATCAGTATTAACTATGGGTTACCGCGCTCAATCTAAGTCAAGTGCATCGCAAATTAAATAAGCAGCCATTGACTCCTTAACGATACTACTGAAGGGCGTAAACAAGTATGATATTAATATGCAAATGATCATGCAGAATAGAGTTAACCAACGACCATAAACAATATTCCTTTGTTGTCCTTAACAAAGACTTCTGTCTTATTATTTTTGGTGGTGTACACCAGGCTCTACTATGTGCCTCAAACTAATTTATTAATTTTTGGTGTAGTGTGTTAATTTTCTTGTACTAATTCATGGATTTTTTTGGGACATAATCTTTATCTTGATCGGGGAATTCGGAAATGGCTAGCTAATGAATCCATGGCGTAGCGTAGACTCCCCATAGAGAACCATGGGTTGGATGAAGCGCTGGGGAAAGAGTATTTATTTTATTTTAAATGGTCACTTTTTTGTCCAGGCAAAAAGTGGTCATATTTTTTGTCCCTTCAAACTCTACAACTAATATTTTTTGCCATTATTTCATTTTTTTTAAGTGAATATACATTTGTAGTTAATAACTTTTCCTTTAATTCAAAATGCACCATTTCACTCTTAAGTGGAGATTCTTTAAAAGTTAGAGCATTTTCACATTTTTTAAGCTAGTGGCATTTCTTCTTCTAAAATTAATAATCAGATCAATTTCTTTACAGATCGTAGACTCGAGAAATGTTTAATCTTCACTTTCTTTACTGCATGTACCTACAGAAGAAATATGATATCTCGATTTCCACATGATGTTTCAAGGGAGAAAACATCTTGTGTCATTCGAATTAAAAAATATTTCATACTTAATTAACTCATACATATTTTAAAATGTGGAGGCAATGGTGTTACAACAGCCACTTTCTAATACAATGAGAAACCAAAACAGGCTCAAAGCTGGAAGAAGAACTTGTATTAGGAATAACAAGGGTTGTGCATATTATCAAGGATAGTCATGGTGGAAACTATCATCTCAACTCTTATGAGGTTTGATATCCTTGGCTGCTTTTTCCTAAGGGTGTACAGTTTGGAACCTTGCTAATAACCCTAAGGTTTGGCTACACACAGTTTGCAGAAAGGTGAACCAAAGTAAATAACTCCAGTGTTATACCATTACCTTTTCCTGCTTTACCTAACTATTTCTCTTGTGAAGATATATCAGACAAACATGGCACAAGATTACCCCTATTCTGCAATAGCTAATGCGGCAGATTAACTAAAGCTTTCAATAGCTTTCAAATTTTAAAACCTTCGATGGGTAACGTCAAAATAGCTAAATTTGACAATTTGTAATTTATTTGAATAGCAAAATTTAAATGGTACTTGCCTCCAATGAGTATTATATACGTAGCAGATCCTGTATCCCTATGACTTAGACATATTTTCTCTTTGAATCATTGAATCGGGTGGAAGTTTAAGGAGTTGGGAAAACAAGTTCTGAGTTTGAAACACAACTGATTTTTTTGTTCACCTGATGGGGCAGCCTAATAGGGTGGAATATTAATAACTTTTACTTTGATATTTTTGTTGTACTAATTTATGGATTTTTGAGAGACTTAATCTTTATCTTGGTCAGGCGATCTGGGATTGGCTAGCTAATGCAGCCATGGCGGTCCTAGTTTATTTTTTCTTAGTGAAAACATACTCACAAGGATTCTTGGTTCATATAATCCTCCTCTATACATCTATAGTTAATAACTTTTCCTTCAATTCAAAATGCAACCATTTCACTATTAAGTGGAGATTGTTTTTAAAACATAGAGCATTTTCACATTTTCAAAAGCTAGTGTCATATTTCTTCTAATAATAATAATAATCAGATCACTTTCTGTACAGTCCGTAGACTCCAGAAATGTTTAATTTTCACTTTGTTTACATCTTGTACAGAAGAAATATAATATCTCCGTTTCCACATGACTTTTCAAGGAAGAAAACATCTTGTGTCATTCAGATTAAAAAATGGCATACTTAATTAACCCAGACATATTTTAAAATGTGCAGGCAATGCTGTAACAGCATCCACTTTCTAATATAATCAGAAACCAAAAGAGACTACAAGACCTGGAAGAAGAACTTGTATTAGGAGTAACAAGGGTGAAGGTGGACCATGGATACATACATAGATACATACATAGACAACTATGGAGTAAAATTTCTCTACAAGCATAAATTCAAACATGTACTATTGTCCAGACCAAATGAAGACAAACGAAATGGGAATGTAAATGTTTACCTCAAGAGATACGTTTGTAAAGGTGATCGGAAAATAACAATTTGCTTCCCTCCAATACTAAGCAAAATTGCTGCATTCATTAAGATAAAAGACAAAATGATAAGTTATTGTGAACAGGTCAAAAGGAAATTTAGGGCAATGCATGTCAGGATCTAATTCAAAATGCAACTATTTCAATTTCAAGTGGAGATTCTTTAAAACTTAAAACACTTTCACATTTTCTTAAGATATTGTCTTCTCCTCTACTTCTTCTTGTTCTAATAATAATTATAATAATAATAATAATAATAATAATAATAATAATAATAATCACTTACACTCGCAGATTACCCCTACTCTGCAATAGCTAATGCTGCAGATTTACTAAAGCTTTTAATAGCTTTGAATTTTTAAAACCTTCGATGGGTAATGTTGAAATAGCTAAATTTCACAAATTGTAATTAATTTGAATAGAAAAATTTAAATGGTACGTGCCTCCCATGAGTATTATATACACAGCAGATCCTCCATTAAAAAAGAACAGGTAGAATTTCATTTTAAATCACAATAATGCATTTCGATTCAACTCAATATACAATGAGAGATATGAGTTCAGGATTGGAAAAAGAAACATCGAGATTCTATAATGCTTGCTTCTGCCAAGACTGAAATCTAGGACAACCAAATCTAACTTTACTATCTAATTAAGAGGCGGACGACCACACAAATTATGGGGCATCAAAGACATAATATCAAATCCAGGCGGCGCCGGGGTGACAGCATCAACAGAAGCACTCTCATCATCGTTGCAGACGGCCCGACGGCGGCATATAGGGCACGTCCCATTTTGCCTCAGTCACGCCACCATGCAATCTTTGTGGAATGAATGTGAACATGTTTGAACCAGACGGATTATCATTTCACCTTCCTCATATTCTGACAAACACACCGCACATGCCTTCTCGGTGACAGCGCCGCCTTCCCACGTTTCGGACTTCAGCTTGCGAATATCATCTTCTGACATTTTCACGGGACCGTCGACCTCATCCTCATCCTCCTCCTTGTCATTATCATCGTCGTCGTTGTCGTTATGAGAGTGAATCATTACAAATTCAACTGAGATGGTACCACTCCACACTTGGACGTGCCGAGCTTCATCTCTACTCATGACTCTCTCAGCCAACCGGCAAAAAGAGTACTGATTCATTGGTAGGAAAAATAGTGGCATAGTCTCAAACACCTAGCATGCGTCAAAAATGATTTTTATATGAAGTCCTAACCTTAACACTAATAAAAATCTTTTCAATTAAAGGACCCCTCTATAGCAATTTAGAAGTTATGAGGCTGGAGAAGACAAAGACAATTAAATCAAAAGATTTATGATTACCTAAATCTAAAAAAGTTATAAGCAAAGTTGGTTTTGTGAAATAATGGAAAAGGTTACTCCCTGAGGAGCCCTGGCAGATATATTTATATTAGAGAGAGTTTAATGTAAAGTACAATACTAAGCCTATAGTAATTCTATTACACCCCCTCAAACTGTGCGGGAGATACAACGCACAGGTTGTCTTTCAAAAAATGAAAACGTTGACTAGATAGACTTTTAGTAAAAATATCTGCCAGCTGTAGATGAGTAGGAACATGTTGAACAATCAGATCTCCATGAGCAACCCGTTCGCGAACAAAATGATAATCAATCTGAATAAGTTTACTGCGAGCATGCTGAACTGGATTTGCAGTCAAGTAAGAAGCAGATATATTATCACATAATAAATGTACCGGCTCGGAGATAGGCCATCCAAGTTCGAACAGGACTGAGCGGATATGTAGTGTGTCTTGTACTGTGTAAGCAATGGCACGATATTCCGCTTCCGTGGAGGACTTGGACACAGTGGGCTGCTTCTTAGCCTTCCAGGAAACCAAATTAGGGCCCAAAAATACAGCAAAACCTGTGGTAGACCGAGAACTATCAGGACAACCTGCCCAATCTGCATCGGAGTAAGCAACTATACAGGTTGGCCGATTAGACTGCTGAAGCCAAAGTCCATGATCTTGCGTTCCCTGCAAGTATCTGAAAATTCTTTTGACTGCAAAAAGATGAGTGGTACGAGGAGCATGCATGAACTGAGACACTAAGTGTACTGCATAAGTAATATTTGGCCGTGTCAAAGTTAAATATTGTAGTGCACCAACCATGCTGCGATACTCAGTAGAATCAGATAATAGCTCACCATCAGAAAGAGACAGAGTGGTACGGGAAGCTAACGGGGTGCGAACAGGTTTGACAGTATGAAGGTGAAAACGAGCTAGAAGGTCAGTAACATATTTATGTTGAGAGAGAAACAAACCTTTAGCTGAACGAATGGCCTCAACACCCAGAAAATAATGGAGATTACCCAAGTCTTTCATAGCAAAATGTTTAGATATAATTGAAATAAATTGGGTAACAGAGAAATCAGAATTGCCAGTAATAATAATATCATCCACATATAATAATAAATAAATAATAGTATTATTCTGGCGGTATATGAACAAAGAATTGTCGGATTTGCTACAAGAAAAATTATGTTGTAGAAGAAAGCTACTAAATCTATGAAACCAGGCTCGTGGAGCTTGCTTAAGGCCATAAATGGCCTTCCGCAGACGACATATATGATTAGGAAAGTGAGGGTGAATAAAACCACGGGGCTGCCGCATATAAACTTCTTCTGTCAGATTCCCATGTAAGAAGGCATTTTTAACATCAAGTTGTCGTATTCCCCACCCAAAAGAAATAGCTAGAGTAAGTACAATACGAACAGTGGTGGGTTTAACGACAGGACTAAAAGTTTCAGAGAAATCAATACCTGCCTGCTGATTAAAACCCTGTGCAACTAATCGAGCTCTATGGCGCTCTAAGGATCCATCAGAATGATATTTAGTTTTATAAATCCACTTACAACCAACAATATTTTTAGAGTTATCAAAGGGCACCAAGTCCCACATATTATTATTAATGAGTGCATTAAATTCATCAGCCATCGCCTCACGCCATTTTAATTGTTTATTTGCCTCAGTAAAACAGGTAGGATCTGCATTGATAGTAACTGTACTTAAATTAAAAATGGTTTTAGGCTTAAAAATTCCTGACTTAGCACGGGTTTGCATGGGATGGTGATTAACTACCGTAGTGGACGTAGGTGAGGTGGTTTCAGGTGAGACAGTGTCAGTTGATGTTGTCTGTGGCGTGCTAGACGAAGTATGGGAGGAGAGATGGGATGGTGGGGGGGCTGGTTGTGGACGTGGGATAGGAGGAATGGGGCGACGGTACACTCGGAGTGATAGGAATACTTGGTGACCGAGGTGGCGAGGATGGGGTTGGTGCTGGTGCGGCCGTAATTGTGGGAACAGGCTGGAGTGGTGGGTCAAGAGTGATATCGATGAGATGCATAGGAGATGGTGTAGTAGAAATAGACCTGGATGGAGCAGATGAGAGAGTTTTAAAAGGATATGTGTCCTCATGAAACCTAACATGACGGCTAACATAGACTCGACCTGTGAAAGGATCCAAACAACGATAGCCTTTATAACCGGATGCATAGCCAAGGAAAACACACTGAACTGAACGAGGTGATAATTTATTGGCTGAGGTGGCATTGAAATTTGGATAACAGGCAGAACCAAATACTCGCATAAAGGAGTAATCTGGAACTCGGTTAAACAGTTTTTGATACGGAGTAAGACCATTTAAGGTAGGAGAGGGTAATCTATTAATAATATATGCAGCAGTAAATATGGCATCGACCCAATAGTGACTCGGAACCGAAGCTTCAAGAAGCATGGTCCTAGTTAACTCAAGTAAATGACGATGCTTGCGCTCAGCAACCCCATTCTGTTGAGGTGTGTCAGGGCAAGATTTTCTAAAGTAAATGCCATTAGCAGAGAAAAATTGTTGCATATTATTATTAACAAATTCACCTCCCCATCACTTTGAAAAATTTTAATTTTCTGATTAAAAAGATTTTCAACCAAAGCTTTAAAATTTTTAAAGTGCATGAAAACTTCATTTTTGTGACACATGGGATATATCCAAGTATAACGAGAAAAATCATCAATGAAACATACATAATACTTGAATCCCAAATTTGAATACACAGGTGACTGCCACACATTAGAGTGAATAATCTCCAAAGGAAAAATAGAATTATGACTAGCATCCATAAAAGGTAAACGTTGTGATTTTCCTAAACTACAGGTCACACACTCATGAGTAAAGGGAGTATGACTATATAAAAATTGTTTTCTCTTAAGAAACTGTAAAGTACTATCACCACAGTGACCTAATCTACGGTGCCACACAGGGCCAGAAGCTAAGACGGAAGCAAAAACTAATGGTGATGCAGACGGCAGATGGAGAGGATAAAGTGGTCCACTACTAGTAGCTCGCAGAAGTATTGCCCCCGTTGCTTTGTCCTTAACCAAGAAAGAATTTTTATCAAAAATTACAGTACAATTATTATCAGCACAGAGCCTTTTAATGGAAATTAAATTATATTTTAACTGAGGCACATGATAAACGGATTTTAAAGTGAGAGGACGACCAGATGTAGGTAAAGCAACATCACCAATATTACATATGGGAAGATGGGCACCATTAGCAACACTAACAGAATTATAGTCGGTGTAGGGAGATTTATTAACTAAATTACCTTCAGATGCAGTCATATGAGCAGAAGCTCCTGAATCAGGAAACCATAGAGCAGGAGTAGTGTCACCGGGAGTAGTCAACAGAGCAGGAGACGTCGGTTGTGTGAAACGAGAAGGACAGTTAATGGCAGAATGACCTGTAGAAAAACAAATTTGACAGACAACAGGATGGGGAACAGATCCGAGAATACCTCCGTCTGATGGCAAGCCTGTATGACTACTGTTAGTGACACAGATAGGTAAAGCATTAATATTTAAATGTGACACAGCAGAATTACAAATAACAGTACCCGTAGATGTCACACCCCCTGCAGGAGTACTCGGCTGCCCACCCCCTCCGGGGTAATAAACTGGATGCCCCCGGGGAAACCAATATGCCTGCTGCTGCTGTCCTCGGCCACGCCCCCTGCCTCCGCGGCCTCTGCCGCGCCCACGTCCTCGCCCGCGCTGTGGAGCGCCGTTCTGCCGAGCCTGCCCGACCGGGTAAGTCTGCTGCCCGACCGGGTGAGTGGATCCTGAATTCTGCTGGGTTGGCTGCTGCCCAGACGACTGCCTAGGATATGAAACAGCCGCGCCAAACGCCTGATGAATGGACTGGGACTCCTGGGAGCGGAGATAAAGGACCCGCTGCTCTAACTCAAGAAGATGATTACGGAGAGTCTCAAACGGGAAATTTTGTCCAAACAAGGACACAACAGTGTATAAAGATTCATACTCAGGTCCTAGACCCATAATAGTAGTTTTTAAAATTTCACGCTGAGGCACAGGGCAATTGATTGTGGCAAGATCATCAGCTAATGTTTTAATTTCTCGCAAATAATTATCCATGGACTGATCAGGTTTCTTTTTAATTTGATTAAATAAACGCTTTAATTCCATAGATCTCGCTAAACTAGCAGACATAAACCGAGACTCCAACCGCTCCCAAATTTCATATGAATGTTTTAAATCACGTACATCGATAAGAACATCCCTAGATAGGGTTGCAAATAACCATGAACGGATGGTTTGATCAATTCTTAACCAAGTAGAAAATTCGGGATTGTGAGTTTGACGGTTAAGAGCATCTATGGAATAAGCAGGGGGGTACCTGAATGGAGCCATCAACCATGCCAAGGAGAGCTTGGGACACCAAAAACGATTCGAACTGTGTACACCAGGTAGTGTAGTCTTCCACCGCTAATAATTTGGTAGTTACAATATTTGTGACATTAGTTGCCACATGTGAGATACTCTGGGCGAGATCTGTGAGGAGTGAGCCAGTCGGGATGGCTGCTGGTGTGCGAGAGGGAGGGATGACAGAGGAGACACCAGGTGAGCCAACAAAAGTGGGACCGGCAAACGAGGATCCAGCCGAGAAGGGTGGCGTGTAGAGGCCTGCGGCCGCTGGCATGGCAGATGGCTGCCACGGAATTCCCGGATGAAGAGTCTGAAACAGTGAGTAGGTACCGGGAATGTCAGCGATGAAGGAAGAAGAGGCTGGCGGCGGATTCACCTGCGGCGGCGCGGTCAGAGGAGTGGCGGCGCTGATGATGACTGCGGCTGCGTCGGTGGCGGCTGATGTGACCGGCGCCATGGTCGAAGAAGTTGGAGCCACTGTGGAGAATGCCATGGATCCGGCGGAGAGGACTGTGTAGGAGTAGATGCGGTAGGAGGCGTCGCAGACGAAGACGTCGGAGTGGCGGCCGGAGATAACCGCTAGGAGATGCGATTGTTGAAGGAGTTACACCGCTTGGACCCAGGCCCGTGGTGGGAGCAGAAGCGATGCCAGGGGACGGCGGCGGCGCTTTGGCTGCGGAAGCCGTGTAGCGGAAAAAAATTTAGGGATTAGGGAAGAGAGAGAGGAAAAATTTAGTGCTCTGATACCATGTGAAATAATGGAAAAGGTTACTCCCTGAGGAGCCCTGACAGATATATTTATATTAGAGAGAGTTTAATGTAAAGTACAATACTAAGCCTATAATAATTCTATTAGGTTTTACATCAGATTTTTAAGGTGAAACCAAATATTAAAAGCAACTGTTTTCGTTGGTTAGTTTTTCTTTCGCTACAATTTTCCTAGAACGAAGCATTGCCTAGATGTTGAATATCACAAACAGGGTAGTCAACAAGGAACATATAATATCATTCTAAAGTTATTAACTATCAACTATTAAAGTTATTAACTATTAGAAAAATTCATTCTACCAGGATCAAAATGTGGTGAGCAGGAATATATATAATCTCATTCTAAAGTTAATTACCCCTAATATGATGTCAAAATTGTACTCTACAACATTTGTAAACTCAGGATGAAGAATTTTTTAGAAAGGTGTCAAAAGCAGAAAAAATGATATGTGTGTTGTTTTATTTGGGTCTTTAGGTGTCATTGTATTGTCCATTTTACTTGGTAGGATGTAAGAACAATATCAACATTTTCTACCTTTTTCGGTGAATAGGCAGAGTAGTTTTAACTGTCCACATCCAGTTTTGTATGTTTTGAACAACCTTTCAGTTTAAAATCGAAAAGATGAACTTGAAGTTAGATATGTCATCTACATATGGTCATTTTGTATTCAACAAGTATTGCACTTTGGTCTTTTTTTTGTGTAACACCTCTGTCCTAATCTTGTACTAGTTTTGAAATGTGGGTTATATGCCAACGATGACAACCAAACACTGAATTCTCAAACATTGAATTATCTTACTGTCAAAACCAAAACAAAAACAAGAAAGGTTTATGTATTAGTTGTGCTCAAGGATTAACTTATTTTCTGGAATTATACTCTTCCCTTAAAGTCGATCTCACGTTTGAAACTAAAAGCATCTTATATATCAAGTCAGACACATAGTTAATGAAAGATCGAATAGAGTAATCAGCCAGTGGCGGACCCACTAAGGGTCCCAAGAAGTCCTGGGACCCCGTGCACCTCCGAAAAAAACCTATATATATTATATATATATTATTTAAAATTAATTATTCAATTTATATTTACACACAAAGCGACTTTAGAACAACAAGAATGGAGTAGCAGAACGGGAGCAGGCGCGGATGCAAAATGTCTATGTTGTGGGAGGTTCTTTGTTCGAATCATGTTGATTTTTTTTGGCGTTTTTTTCCTTTAACGGAAGGCACGGCCCAGCCCATGTTTTTTTGGAACTTAGGCCCAAAACAAAAAACAAAAGATCCAACCCTCTTTTCCTTTCACACTGGAGTGCGATTCCCCCAACTGCGTGCGAAGACGACTTCGGACTGCACGACAAGCCAAGGACCACCGGCTGACCGCCGCAGTGCTGACGAGGCGACGAGCCGATGACCACCAGCTGGCGGCTGACCGACGACTCGACGAGGCAACGACCACCGGGCACCGGCGGCGACGATTGGCGAAATGGAACACCGAACACCCCTCTCTGGCTCTCTGCACTCTCGGTCTCTCCCTTTTCATCATCAACCAAGCGGCCAAGCCACCAAGGTATTCTTCTCTTCTTTTCTCCATTAATGGCGTTTCTCAAGCTTTTTGGTGCGATTTTCTTTATTCTCAAAACTTAGGGTTTTCAATTTCTATGTTTAAATTAAATATAAATATACCAAAACTACGTCATTCTTTTAATCGCTTTTTTGCATATCTTTTTTTAATGTTAGATTAAAATAATAAATTCATGTATTTATAAATGTTATTTTCAATTTTATACTCCCTCTGGTCCTTAATGAAGTTTACACTTTGACTTCACACATATTAAGGAAATAAATTTGACTTTACTGTAGAGTGCACTGTTTGGCACTGTTTGACACTATTTGGCACTTTGATGTAGATTTGTTTGTCAAATAAGGCAAATAAGGAAGTGTAAAGTTTAATATGGGACGGCCCAAAAAGGAAAGTGTAAAATTAATTAAGGACCGGAGGGAGTATGATTTAGGATGAAAAGATATTTTGATGTTGTGCCCAAATTTAAAGAAACTCAAAGTATCGAGAGTAGTTCGGGCGTTAATTCAAATGATCCGTCATTAGTAAATGAAGAATTGGATCAAGTAATTGCTGAAAGTGAAGCTAATTTAGCTGATAATCTACCTGAACAACATGGGGATTTTGAATCATTAAAAGCTGATCCTGAATTGAGAAAAAGACTTGCTGATTTTCACTCTAATGTTCAAGACGAGGTACGACATAGTTACATTCAAAAAGGACCATTTCAACCTCGGGACCATGATTTCCCTTTTAAGTTAATTGGAGGCAAAAAATGTAGACTTGTTTCAAGTTGGTTTGAAGTGTTATGCTTCTTTAATATATTTTTATTAGTTTTATATTAATTAGAGATCAAAGATATATAAGGGTAGAGACCCCGTGACTCCGACTTTCTGGGTCCGCCACTGTAATCAGCTCAACCTCTTTCAAGTTAATTGTGTAAGAGAGTGATGATAGCAGTAACTGGATACCCTAACATTTACATCAGGGCCGGCCCAGGCCAGGTGTAGGCTGTGCAATGGCACAGGGCCCATAAAAAATGAAGGCCCAAAAAAAATTAGGAGTGTTAGTTTATATGTACTCGTAGTATTTAATTTCAAATCCAATAGCCCAAACTTGCATCCCTACGTTTAATTAATGGATATCTCTGAAGTCAGAAGAGAGCATTGAACGAGTGGAGGAGATAATTAATGACTTCTAGCGAGACAACAAAGTCAGAGCATTTCAACACGAAGCCAACTAGCGAGACAACAAAGTCTGAAAGTAAGCACTTAAGAACTGAAGCTACCGAACTGAGGAGATTAGTGAACAACCGTGGCCGGATTAATGGTTAGGCAAAGTAGTGAACGAGCGACAACCGCAACGTAATGAACAAACAACGTCGAAATCCAACAGTCCCCGACCCAATTGTGGCACTCACCACTTGCCATAATTCCTGGACTTTCTAGGTTAGGTCTTTATTTTGGAATTATAAAATTTTCATCTAGTTATATTATTGCTGTATTTCTTCATAGATTTAAAGGATTAGATAGTTTGTTGTTGAGTTTAACAAATTTAAGGTTGTTAAGTTGTTAATTTTGCATTTGCATTGAACAAATTGATATTAGGTCATTAGGTGAATACATTTGGTTTCTTTTTGCGTTAGAAAAAAAAGGCCCAATTTTTTCTTTGCACAGGGCCCTATAATTCTTAGGGCCGGCCCTGATTTACACTTCAACACAAGCACACTTGCACCAAATAACTCAACTACACCACATTTTCTAAAGATAGGGATAAATCTACAAAAGCATCCTCACCTACTATCTTAATAACCAGTCGAGCAAAAGTGCAATTGCATATTAAAATGCACAGTACCAATAACATACGGCTCTATTGACTATTAGAAAAGTTCATTCTACCAGGATCAAATTGTGGTGAGCAGGAATATATAATCTCATTCTAAAGTTATTAGCCATTGACTATTAATATAAAACATGGAGTATTAAGTAATGACGTGATTAGTGTGGAGTATACACGAATGAATAACACATATACATATATGTCATATTCTAAGAGTGAAGAAATTGAAGAAAGTCACATTTATATTTGTAGCTATGAGGAGAACAAATCATGGGGAATAGTGGAATACATGGATAGCCATTAGAAGAATAAGAAGAAGAAAAATAGATGGAGGGGGCTGGGGAGATGTGCATCACCAATAAAAATGGTGGGTTGGAAAAACCTAACAATAGTAACAAGAGAGCTAGGATTATCTTGACGGAGTAATAGACATCCAAATCATAACCACATACAAAATCAGTCTTCCGTAAATACCCAGACTGATAAGCTTCTTCTCCAGCCTAATAACTTCTAAATTGCTATAGAAGGGCCCCTTTGATTGAAAAGTTCTTTTCTTGCAGAAAGCTTAGCCATTTCAATTACCAATAAGAATTATAAAAGAACCCCTTCAAATACTTGGCTATTTGTTGAGTGTCTTCATAAAAGGATAAGCCACAAATAACTTTCAACTTTTTTGTTTTAAGGCTCCAGAGAGATTGGGGGGCTAAAGTCAGTGTTATGCATGAAAAAACCTCCCTAGACAGTGAGTCAAAGTGGAACAACCAGTTTTAAAGGTGAGTACCATTGAGACCTAATGTGTCCGTTTTGAAACATATACTAAGTAGTATACCTTCACTTTTTCATGCCAACTAATATTTTGATTAAGATGCATCCTCCATGCCAACGCTAGTTCAGAATATGAAACAGGAAGAACCGAGAATGGAGGAGAGATTTTTACTAAGGTTTTGCCCCCGAAGGCATTCCAAACCTATGTAAGCTATGCCAGAAAGCTTCAATACTATATATGCCACACACTGGTCTCACTTATATAGTTATGTTTAGGGGACAACATTACTTAGTTTCTTGTGTCTACTACATCTTTAAAGAAAGTCTTATAATTCATATTGTTGCTCTTGCTACCACAAAAAAACTGCAGCAACGTTAGAAATTAATTTAAAAGCAGACTCCATAGCTAAAAGGAGACATCAAAAAAATAAATTCTGAAACCATTGCAAATGTAGACACCCTTTGCAACCCAAATACAATGGAAGGTGGGAAATTATGTTACCTCCAGATGAAACACGTCGAACTTAAACTGCAAACAATCTAGCAAGCCTAAAAAAACTAAAAGTACATACAAGATGAAATTAGTCCCTGAAAGATAGAACTCGTACAACGATACTAAAAAAATTTAAAAAGTACATACAAGATGAAAAAAGTATCGGTTTTGAAACATGAAATGGGAAGTCAGTTTTAGATTTTTGACAAATAGTTTACATACAATACAAATAGTTTAGATACAATACAATCACTGCAGCTATGGGACTGAAACATAAAAGTATTAATCACATCGTCAGTAATAAAAGTATTCTAATAGGCATTTAAACAAACAGTTAGCGGGTGTAGTTCATATGCAAAAAGCTTCAACAATTTTTGAGTTTGTGTTCAAGTGGATGACCAGAAAACAACTTTCAGATTCGTACCCTAAAACAAAGTGTTCAATTCGACCCCACAAACAAAAGCATACATCAAGTTTAATCGATCATTAGAGACTTGTGAAAAGCACACTAAAAATTACCTGGAATCTCAAACAAGGAGGGAAGCTGAATAGTAATTTGCGGAAGCCTCATCGTTTTGTCTTTCGAAACTATATATAACACTGGAGATGCGCAGAAACAGTTAAAGGACGTATGAGCTTCAGCAACGGGTCATGGAAGAAGAATAATTTCCAAGAGTTTCTTAGAACGTCATCTTAATTGTGGAGTAATGGAGTAATAACTTGCCCGTACAAAGAGTTCCAAGAGTTTCGGCCATGCAGTTGAACAGTCACAGACGGAGGAAAAACATTAACACCGTGACTCAAAATACATAACGGCGTCAACGGAGCAATACAACAGCAATATTGTGTAGCAGAGTTGTTTTACATCTTTGACAACTGCATTAAGAATTTAATACACAAAGTGGCTTTTATAAGATAGGTTAAGATTAAGATATGGTCATATGGATACATAGAATGATAACAAGAGCTAAAAGATAAAGTGTCAATTTTGTCTTATTATTAGTTGTCTCTCATTTTATGATTAACTAATTAACAATTTAACACGCATTAGCAATTGAACACATCGAGAGTTTAAGCTATACAAAACAAATCATCACGTGAAATATATAGCAAAGGCCAAAGAAGTAAAAGAAAAAAAAACAATAAAAGTAAAAAAAAAGAAATGTCCGGGAGATCGAGTATTGTACAACAGACGAATATGCACGGTTTGGAATAGTGCAAATAAATACTACGGAGTATAAAAACGAGAGGAACTCCACTAACCTAGCTTAGTAAAATCGATTCTTTAAAATTATTTGCATACTTGCAGGTTTCAGCATATTTTTTGTTTTATTAATGGCATTATTTTATATTTGCTGCAGACTATTTGGACTTTCATGGTGATTATTTGTTGAAGTCCCACATTGGAAAAGTTTGAATCATCAAAGTGTTATATTAAGACACGAGTTCAATAATATTAATGCTATTATTCCCTAGTCCTTGACACCTTCGTTGCGGCACGCAAGTAGGCAACACGCTTCCTATAGCATCGCGCGAGTATGCTATGGGAGTAGCCCACGGTGAGGAGCGTACTCCCATAGGTGTCATTTAACTTAATAATTAAACAAAAAACGTGGATCAAATTTGTAGATCAAAAATGCAAAAATGTGATCAATAATAATAATATGAGGAGGAAGAAAAACATAGGTAAAATGGGTGTAGTGCAATGGATGATCATTCAGTCTCAAGTTTCTCTTTTGTGAGAGGTTTGGGGTTCAATTCTTATCTAGGGGAGATAAGGGGGGTTTTGCTCTCCATGATTCTCTTTACCTTCACGAACTAACTCAGAAGCTAAGAAGGGAGATAATGATAATGAAGACATTGGGTTCGTGTGTTGGGAGCAATTGTGGAGCCACTATTGTTCAAATGGGTTCATATGAACACCCAAATTTGTTAAAATTGTGTAGGTATATAAGTGTAAATTTAGTATAATTATTTATAACTCTTTAAATTTTAAGTTGTAAAAAAGTATTGAACACCCAAAATTTAAATTCCAAATCGAGCATTGGGTGGGAGGAGCAGCCTGGAAGGGACACGTGATGCAAGTCTCGTTGGATTCGTCCTTTGAAGCCAGTACCAACAAGACTGACTAAGAAAATAATTTCGTATTAAAAAATATCAATCAAGTAAGAAAAGACAATTTTAAATTATTTCATTTATGAAAATGTATCTTTGTCAACGGCAGCATTTATGAAAATGTGGAAAATGGACAATCGAGAAAAGCCAGTACCACGACACCTTTTATGAAAACGTTTTGAATAAGGAACAACAAGACTTGCATAATTTTCGGGGAAAAGCATTGTCCGTTTCAATCGAGTACAGTTTGGGTATATAATTCCACAACGGGAAATTAAACGGGGCGGGTTCGGGGAAAATAATTAACTTCACTAACGGGACGGGTACGGGTATAAATCATCATCATGTTGGGTAATTGAGCACATCCACAACTATACATCATATAATCTTGTAGCTAGATTTTCATATCATGGTGATGGATTATAGGGTATCCAAAGTATATTAAAATGGAGAGATTGAGCTAGATAATTGGAGGAAGAAGATGATAATGAATAATGAATTGTGAAATTAGGTTTACAAGAACTCCCTAAGGGAGTATATATAGAAGAATATCCGGGTCTGGGCCTCTAATATGGGCCTGACAGACCCGGTTACATAAATGGACTGATAATATAAAAGGCTAATCTAGAACACCTGAATAATAATAATAATGTACAATAATGAAAATGCTATCAGCTGAGTGTTCGTGGGCCGCTGTCCGGGTCCAATAGTCGTGAGACCCGGGGGTCCGAGTCTATATACTCTATCAGGAGTCCCCCACTCTCTGAGTCGAGAGTATTCGAGGCGAAAGAGAGTAGAGCTGTGTGTTGATCTGTCGTCGTCTGGTGAGTAAACTTCGTGAACAAAAATTTGAATTTCTGCTTCTTTGGTTAACGGAGGCGCTAAGTCCCCCGCTCTTCCAGTCCCCCACTCCTTGAGGTGAGTGTAATGAGGTGAAGAGGAGTAGAGTAATGTGTGTTGGATGATGTCTTCAACAGGGGGCCGAGGGTTGACACCTTTTGATCCACGATGGGGAGATGCCTCGTTAAAAACCTCATTAGGAAAAACCCTGTGGGAAAAAATCCTAATGAGGGAAAAAGAGTACACCGGATGCCCCCAAAATGAAACAAAAGGTGCGAACCCTTCGGCCTGGAGATGGAGCTGCAACGGTGCCCGTCTGCTGGGGGGATGGTCGAGGCCGATCTCTAGATGTGGATAGCTCATCATGATCAGTAGTCCTAGTCATCAAATAAAGATGACTAAGGGATGGGTCGAGCGACCGTCCACAATATGATGTCTGGTTCATCAAATAAAGATGACCAGAACGTAAGGCCGATGGGCCAAGAGACCTGTACGAGAGCTCCATGTTGTCGAATAAGGACGACGAGGCGATGTATGGCCGAGGGGCCTGCATAAGAGCTCCAAGTCGTCAAATAAAGACGACAGGGCGATGGTGCGGCCGAGGGGCCTGCATAAGAGCTCCACGTCGTCAAATAAAGACGACGGGGTGATGGTGCGGCCGAGGGGCCTGCATAAGAGCTCCACGTCGTCAAATAAAGACGACGGGGCGATGGTGCGGACGAGGGGCCTGCATAAGAGCTCCACGTCGTCAAATAAAGACGACGGGGCGATGGTGCGGCCGAGGGGCCTGCATAAGAGCTCCACGTCGTCAAATAAAGACGACTGGGTGATGGTGCGGCCGAGGGGCCTGCATAAGAGCTCCACGTCGTCAAATAAAGACGACGGGGCGATGGTGCAGCCGAGGGGCCTGCATAAGAGCTCCACGTCGTCAAATAAAGACGACGGGGCGATGGTGCGGCCGAGGGGCCTGCATAAAAGCTCCACGTCGTCAAATAAAGACGACGGGGCGATGGTGCGGCCGAGGGGCCTGCATAAGAGCTCCACGTCGTCAAATAAAGACGACGGGGCGATGGTGCGACCGAGGGGCCTGCATAAGAGCTCCACGTCGTCAAATAAAGACGACGGGGCGATGTATGGCCGAGAGAGGCCTATATGAGAGCTCCACGTCATCAAATAAAGATGACGGGGCGACGTATGGCCGAGAGGCCTACATGAGAGTCTCACATCATCAAACAAAGATGACGGAGCAAGATGTGGCTCAGAGGCCTACAAATGAGTTCCTCGTCATCAAATAAAGATGACAGAACGATATATGGTCGATGGGCCTGTAGATGAGCTCTTCGTCATTAAATAAAGATGACAGAGCGATATATGGCCGATGGGCCTACAAATGAGCTCTTCATCATCAAATAAAGATGACAGAGCCATATATGGCCGATGGGCCTGCAAATGAGCTTCGCGTCATCAAATAAAGATGACGAAGCGATATATGGCTGAAATCTGGGCTCCTTTAGCCTTTCAGCCGGAGACCGCAAGATGTTCGCTATATCTGAATAGGGGGACGAGGCGGTGGACGCCTGTCTGAATATGAGGGCGACGACGCTGATGAGTCGGTCCGAATATGAGGATGAGGCAATGATAAGCCGCGTGTCATATGAAGGCGACGGACACCATCCAAGAAGGGATTGGCGAGCCTGGTCGCTAGATAAGAACTTCAACGCTGGGGCCGGTCTAAATGTGAGGACGAGGCGATGATAAGCCGTGCGTCATATAGGGGCGACGGTCGCCGTCCGGGAAGGGATGGCGAGCCCAATCGCTATAACAAGACTTCGGCGCTGGGAGCCAGTCTTGAGATAAATAATCACGTCGCGGCCGAGAGGCTGATCGCGATGTGCGGATGACAATGATGAGGAGTCAGTCCGAAATATGATGATGAGGCGATGATGGAGCCGATCGTCATATAGAGGCGATAGTCACCATCCAGGAGGGGATGTCGAGCCTGATCGCTAGCTTAAGACTCGCGGCGCTGAGGAAGCCGGTCTTGAGATAGATAATCACGCCGAGGCCGAGGGGTCGGTCGTGATATGAGGACGACGACGATGAGGAGTCGGTCCAAACAATGATGACGAGGCGATGGTGAAGCCGATCGTCATATAAAGGCGATGGTCACCATCCGGGAAGGGATGGCGAGCCCGATCGCTAGCTCAAGACTCGCGGCGCTGAGGAAGCCGGTCTTGAGATAGATAATCACACCGACGCCGAGGGGCCCGTCGTGATATGCGGACGACGACGAGGAGGAGTCGGTCCAAACAATGATGACGAGGCGATGGTGAAGCCGATCGTCATATAAAGGCGATGGTCACCATCCGGGAAGGGATGGCGAGCCCGATCGCTAGCTCAAGACTCGCGGCGCTGAGGAAGCCGATCTTGAGATAGATAATCACGCCGAGGCCGAGGGGCCGGTCGTGATATGAGGACGACGACGATGAGGAGTCGGTCCAAACAATGATGACGAGGCGATGGTGAAGCCGATCATCATATAAAGGCGATGGTCACCATCCGGGAAAGGATGGCGAGCCCGATCGCTAGCTCAAGACTCGCGGCGCTGAGGAAGCCGGTCTTGAGATAGATAATCACGTCGAGGCCGAGGGGCCGGTCGTGATATGAGGACGACGACGATGAGGAGTCGGTCCAAACAATGATGAAGAGGCGATGGTGAAGCTGATCGTCATATAAAGAAGATGGTCACCATCCGGGAAGGGATGTCGAGCCTGATCGCTAGCTCAAGACTCGCGACGCTGAGGAAGCCGGTCTTGAGATAGATACTCACGCCGAGGCCGAGGGGGTCGGTCGTGATATGAGGACGACGACGATGAGGAGTCGGGCCAAATAATGATGACGAGGCAATGGTGAATCCGATCGTCATATAGAGGCGATGGTCACCATCCGGGAAGGGATGGCGAGCCCGATCGCTGGCTCAAGACTCGCGGCGTTGAGGAAGCCGGTCTTGAGATAGATGATCACGCCGAGGCCGAGGGGCCGGTCGTGATGTGAGGACAACGGCGATGAGGAGCCGATCCTATAATATGATGACGCGGCGTTGATGAAGCTGATCGTCATATAAAGGCGATGGTCACCATCCGGGAAGGGATGGCGAGCCCGATCGCTAGCTCAAGACTCGCGGCGCTGAGGAAGCCGGTCTTGAGATAGATAATCACGCCGAGGCCGAGGGGGTCGGTCGTGATATGAGGACGAAGACGATGAGGAGTCGGTCTAAATAATGATGACGAGGCAATGGTGAAGCCGATCGTCATATAGAGGCGATGGTCACCATCCGGGAAGGGATGGCGAGCCCGATCGCTAGCTCAAGACTCGCGACGCTGAGGAAGTCGGTCTTGAGATATATGATCACGCCGAGGCCGAGGGGCCGGTCGTGATGTGAGGACAACGGCGATGAGGAGCTGATCCTATAATATGATGACGAGGCGCTGATGAAGCCGATCGTCATATAAAGGCGATGGTCACCATCCGGGAAGGGATGGCGAGCCCGATCGCTAGCTCAAGACTCGCGGTGCTGAGGAAGCCGGTCTTGAGATAGATAATCACGCCGAGGCCGAGGGGGTCGGTCATGATGCGCGGGCGGCGATGCTGAGAAGCCGATCCGATAATATGATGATGTGGCAAGGCGTTGGCGCCGGACTGAACATGTAGGACGGTGGAGCTAGTCCGAAGATGAGGGATGGCGCTGGGCGCTCGTCTGAGATGAGGGATGGCGCTGGGTGCTCGTCTGAAAATGAGGGACGGCGTTGGGCGCTCGTCTGAGATGATGGACGGCGCTGGGCGCTCATCTGAAAATGAGGGACGACGATGGGCGCTCGTCTAACAAATGAGGGACGGCGTTGGGCGCTCATCTGAAAATGAAGGACGGCGCTGGGCGCTCGTCTGAAGATGAAGGACGGCGCTGGGCGCTCGTCTAAGGATGAAGGACGGCGCTGGGCGCTCGTCTGAAAATGAGGGACGGTGCTGGGCGCTCGTCTACAAATGGAGGACGGCGTTGGGCGCTCGTCTATGATGATGGACGGCGCTGGGCGCTCGTCTGAGATGATGGACGGCGCTGGGCGCTCGTTTGAAATGAGGGACGACGCTGGGCGCTCGTCTAAGATGAGGGACGGCACTGGGCGCTCGTCTGAAAATGAAGGACGGCGTTGGGCGCTCGTCTGAAGATGAAGGACGGCGCTGGGCGCTCGTCTAAGGATGAAGGACGGCGTTGGGCGCTCGTCTGAAAATGAAGGATGGCGCTGGGCGCTCGTCTAAGGATGAAGGAAGGCGTTGGGCACTCGTCTGAAAATGAGGGACGGCGCTGGGCGCTCGTCTACAAATGGAGGACGACGTTGGGTGCTCGTCTAAGATGATGGACGGCGCTGGGTGCTCGTCTGAAATGAGGGACGGCGCTGGGCGCTCGTCTGAGATGATGGACGGCGCTAGGCGCTCGTCTGAAAATGAGGGACGACGTTGGGCGCTCGTCTAACAAATGAGGGACGGCGTTGGGCGCTCGTCTAAGATGATGGACGGCACTGGGCGCTCGTCTGAAGAAGAAGGACGGCGCTGGGCGCTCGTCTCAGGATGAAGGACGGCGCTGGGCGCTCGTCTGATAATGAGGGACGACGCTGGGCGCTCGTCTAATCCGCATGTATGGTCTTGCTTCGTCCATAATGTGTAGTATTTGCCTGATATGTACTTAATATTGTTGTGGGGATTTCATTTTTTGTTGCTCGAGGCCGGCGAGTGCGCGCGGTCCTCGGCTTCCCTCTTTTATTTTTTCTTTTTCCTTTTCTTTTCGTTTTTTTTTTTATTTCGTTCCCCATTTCATGGAGTGTCCTTCTTTCAGGCTTCGGCCGAAGGTATCGCTAGTCCTTCGGCCGGTTTGGACTTCGTTTATAACGTCCGTGATCTCAGGGGGGTCCCGTAGCCTATTTATGACGCGGGCTAGACTTTTGGTTGGCTTCCAACGGCTGCCGTTGCCCGACCCTAAGTTTGGGGATTTTGTCACCTCGACCATGATTTCAGGCTTGTCGTCCTGTGATCGGGCGCGTGGACGACGCGGTGAACTTCCCATTTCAAGACGTGGGCCGTTTGCGGGCCCGTCGTCCTGGGGACATCGTCGGCCCTGCCTGAGCATTTGGCTCTAAGGGGTCGATACGACATGCTCTCTCAACTGGGCCTGAGCCTTTCGCTGATACAAAATACAAAGTGGAGCAGACCTGAGCCTTTCGCTCGAAGGCTGCTGATACGACACATGGTATCTTCTATTTACATTTCCAAAAAATTAGCGGAATACAATAGGTGCGTTGTTCATGGCAACGGCTTTTGGGCGACGCGATTAGCGTCTCGGAGAACGAGGTGTACCGTTTACCGCTCTCGGGCATAATGCCATGTGCGGCCGGTAGCGGCTCTCATTTTTAGATGTCCGAGTCACCAAATAAAGGTGGCTAGGGTAGGTCGAGGGACCCAAATATAATTCAAATCATCAAATAAAGATGTTCAGTAGACTAGAGCTCGGGTTCACCGCTCTGGGGTTTTTAACCCGCTCTAATGGTGATGATAAAAATAATAACGCCAATAATAAATTTTCATTTGTGACCTCGGGAAATTTTAATCCCTGATAATGGTCTTCACCACCTCGGGGGTTTTTAACCCGCCATAATGGTGGTGGAAATAATATAATTAATAATAGTAATAATTATACTATTATCATTTAATAAATATTTTAAGTGTATAAATAGGAGTATTGGGCACTTAGCTCTTATTTGGGCTAGATAAATGGGCTGAAATAGCAGATCCATGCAAAAATTGGATCCATGGCATGTAGTTGAGGAGGCCCACCACCTTTTTTGACCAATTTTGACCTAGCCCACAAATAATCAAAAACTCCCCCCCCCCCCCTACGTGCGGCAAGTGGACATCCCCATCCAGCTTCGTATGCGGCCAAGGCAAGCAGGAGCAGTGAAGGCAGAGTTTTATCAGGCAATACCGGCGACGATTGATACTCCCTTCAAGTTGGGTCAGCAGGGCAGTTCCGATTTTGTTGTTCCAGGAGCTCCTTGCGGCCATTAATGGCGGAGCTTTGAGGTCAAGCTCGAGGAACTGGCTCAGACATGGGATGGCATCTTCCGGCGTTGGCGTGCGGCGGCGGTGACATTTCCGGCAAAGATCTGCGGCCTCCGTCCCAGAAATCCAGATGTTGTTCTTTCATTTTTTTGTTATTTTCAGTCTGGTTTTTCTTCATTTTTTTTTATTTTCCAGAACACTTTTTGGTTGATTTTTTGTGATTTAGATGAGTTTTTGGAGATTTTGGGAGGAATCTAACTTGATTTTGCTCTAATCTCTCAATGAAAGCATCATTGATGGATTATAGGGTATCCAAAGTATATTAAAATGGAGAGATTGAGCTAGATAATTGGAGGAAGAAGATGATAATGAATAATGAATTGTGAAATTAGGTTTACAAGAACTCCCTAAGGGAGTATATATAGAAGAATATCCGGGTCTGGGCCTCTAATATGGGCCTGACAGACACGGTTACATAAATGGACTGATAATATAAAAGGCTAATCTAGAACACCTGAATAATAATAATGATAATGTACAATAATGAAAATGCTATCAGCTGAGTGTTCGTGGGCTGCTGTCCGGGTCCAATAGTCGTGAGACCCGGGGGTCCGAGTCTATATACTCTATCACATGGGATTTGTGAAGATGCTAATAATTTCCATTCACATTATCACCGTGCCGATTTTAATATTGGAAGATATTAAACTCTTCAGAGGGAGTTCTTTCTCTTTCTATATATTTATTTGTGGGTTTATTTAAGGTATGTATTTGTAGGTTATATATAACGATGTATTGACTAATGAAGGAAATAAGGTAGGATTTCATGAGGCTAATATGATGTGTTGGTTATTCAAATTAGTTGAAGTGGATGAATTGTTGTAATTTTTGAATTCGTTTTAAAATGGATAATTGACTGAATCCGTTGATTTAAGATTATATATATATATATATGTATATATATATGTATGTATGTATGTATGTATGTGTGTGTGGGGGATCACATACAAATTAGTCCTCTCATGCTAACCTACAAACTATCACAAACTGTGCATCTTTATATTATTTGTATTGCATATTAAAGTTCAAAGTGTTGCATAATATTTGTATTGTATATTGAAATTCAAAGTGTTGCATATTATTTGTATTGCATATTGAAGTTCACAGTGTGCATCTTTACATTATTTGTATTGCATATTGAAGTTCAAAGTGTTGCATATTATTGAGTTTGTAGGTTAGTATTTTAAGCATGGTTTCCATTTGATCTCTTATAATACTACATCCGTCCCATAAAGTTTGGTCAAATTTCTTTTTTCCCCAAAAAATGTTGTCATTTCTATTTAAGGTAACAATTATGTGGCTAAAATTGTTTCTCTTTCCTCTACACAAATCTCAACCACACATACAGTTTTTACTTTATTATTCTATGCGGAAGACAATTTTGGCCAAATTTTAGGGGACATGGGGAGTATAAAATGTAGTAAACAAAATATTTTATTCCAATTTTTTTCCATCAAATTTAGGCAAAAAAGTAAACAAGACTTTATTTATTATGATTATTACACAACTTACCGTGTCAATTCAAAATATGAATTTTTTGTAAAATATTAATTGATAAGACTGATAAAACAAAGCCAAAAGTTGTCAAAGGGGCAATTATAACTACACAAATGGAAGAAAGTTTCTCAACATTATAATGTTTTTAAAATGTACACACTAATGGTAGCAAGTGGTGGCGTAAGCAAAGACAAATATTGTGGTGGGTCAACAAAATAACATTTTTATTGGTAGTTGGTAACATTGATGTATTATTATATTAGGACTTCAATTCACTCCCTAGTGCCTCCACAACAAAACATTGATTTATTTATTAGTCTTAAGGTAGGAGAACTCGTTATCAATAAATCTAAAGAGTAAGATATACTTGTGTATGACAAACTAGACAAATGTTATCACATTTATTGTGTATGTTGCAAAAAAGATCTCCACAAACCCCTCCTAATAATACAAGTTTTACTCTTGTTGCAAACTTGTAAATTAGCAAGCAACATGGATAAGAATGAGACAACTTTGAGTTTGCTAAAGATTGATAACATCAGTTAGTTTTTGTTGCAAGGCTTGCAGATCAATGCCTTCCTCATCAGAAACCTGCAAGTATATCATATTCATTTAGAATAAAGAAATGCTACTCTAAGATTTTGATAATTTGTTCATTAATGTTTATCAACCCTTAATTTTATGTGCAAATCAATCTGAAATTGTTATCTCCGTTTCATACTAAGAAGCATAATAAGCATTTTTTCAATTCAATCATGTCCGGATCAATATATATAATTGTATGAGAATACATTTATATATGAATAGAGTGATATTGTATGAATTTGCTTATTAGGTATACGCATAAAGAATCTTAGATGAGTACAACAATCAACATGAGGGTTTTTAGGTTGATTTGGTGATGAGTATTGAAGTTGTTAGCATCTAGTTTATAATGTGTAAAACTAATGTCGTTGAATACAAATCTTAATATGCATATCATTGAGAAATATCATATCATTGCTTGAATTAGTATCATTGCTAGATTTAATATAAATAAGTTTTTGATTGATAAGCCGTATTCTCAATGAAGTCATAAATATACATACGCTATATTTGGCAAATAATTTATCAACTCACTTTTAGTTGGTTTGACGTATTTTAATTCTTTGAATAGTCAAATCAGTTAATAATTATTTTGGTAAATGGCTTTTTAGTTTAACTTGTTCATGTGATACTTGAATGTCAATTAGATACTTGAATGCTCTTTTGTTAGCACCCCGAATTTGTTGTATGAAAATGTGAAATTCATTTACACTTGGGGTACTTCGCACTCATCATCACAACTTGCTTAGTTGTTTGCTTCTAAATTGAGACTTTAAATTTCTTCTAATATGTGTAAGACATTATTACCTCTAAATTCGAGGTGTTCCTGATTCTGGCACAACTCAGAATGCACAATACATAACCACGTGTCAACCAGAGATGATGCAAACATCTCAATGTGGGCCTGTGTGTATTGCAAGCAACTGTAAAACCCACATAATGCTTGCCCCATTTTCACTATCTACCTCTCCAAATGCTGGAGGGTAGATATCGTGGTTTGAATTCATTGTCACCGCGACTAGAAGATGGCCTTTGTACTTTCCGTACAAGTGAGTTCGATCAATGGAGACCACCGAAGACGGTGATTAAACCCATCAATTGCTGCTTTCAATGACCAAAGGCGAATTTAAATTCATATGTACCTTGTGCGTTGGAGTTATGACTTTTGAGGTCAATGATGGTCCATGGGTTAGTATAGGTCGCATCATTCCTTGCAAGAGTTTCAGAAAATCATTGTACGTCACTCCAAGTTTCCAAACCGTTTCTTCGTTGTCAATATACATCACGCTTTCTTATATCCGACATGAATATTGAACTTGTGCCATATGTCATGCATTATTAGCTTGATATTGTACCTTGATTTTATGTGGATCATGGAACTAATTTGAGAAGCGATGAGTTTGATTGTTATGAGTTTATTGCTCTTAAATCTTGTATGTTTTGGAATGTGGTTGGTATTGCTTGACTTTCAACAAGTTTGTACTCTTCAGTTGTGATGCTTGAATATGCCATGTAATGAGGGATTCATTTAATTAGTTTTCCAACATTTAGAACGTTTAGCCTCACTCTGGAATGTTCAAATTCTTTCGAGTTCTGAAAAAGAGTTGTCTTCCTAGAGTTCTTCATACAAATCTCTTATTGAACCCACTTCAATGTGTTATTGTAGACGATATATGGGTTCCACGAACAACTCCTCTTCATTGTGTGGAGTTGCCGAAGAAGAGTCATGGTGAAGAGGGGGTGTTTGTGGAACCCAAGTATCGTCTACAACAACACATTGAAAGGGATTCAATAAATGATTCGTGTGTAGAACTCAAAGACGTTGTCTGTTTCAGAACTTGAAAGAGTTATAAACATTCCGAAGTGAGAGGCTAAACGTGCTAAATACGGGAAGGTGAACTGAATCTATCATGAGGTATGTGCGTTGAAAGTCAAGCATCACAAGTGAAGAGTACAAATTTGTGGAAAGTCAAGCACTATCAACCCCGACATAATTGCATTCCAAATTATACAAGAGGTAAGTGAGACAAACTCTTAAAAAGTAAGTTCATTGCTTCTTAAATTAGTTCTACGATTCACATAATTAAAATCGAAATATAGTACGAAGCTAATAATGCATGACATATACCACAAGTTCAACACTCATGTTTGATATAAGAAAGTGTGGTACTTTCATGCATTGGCATTGAAGAAACGGTTCGGCAATTTAAAGAAGACGTACAACGATCTCCCAAAAGCCTTGAAAGCAATGACCAACACTAACTTAGAGACCATTATTAACTTAAATAGTGATAACACAATAAGAAAGTTGCGTATAAATTTAACATCACATTTTGGTCAATGAAAGCATTAATAGATGGGTTCAATCACTGCCTTCCGTTGGTTTGCATTGATGGAACACACTTGCACGGAAAGTAAACGGGTTATCTTCTATTCACGGTGGCAATGAGTGCCAACCACGAAATCTAGCTTTTGGTGTGGTATTAGATAGTGAAAATCGTACGAGTTGGACATGATTCTTACACTTTCTTGCACACACATTATAGGACTGCATCAGATTTTTTCCATCATCCCTGATCAATATACGGATATAAATTCTGCATACCAGACTGTGCCAGAATTTGGAACACCTCAAATTCAAAGGTAATATTATCTTCGGCACATTAGAAAAAATTCATGTCCCAATTCGGAAGCGAATAACTAAAGAAATTGTGTTGGTGAACAGGAAGTACCGCGATTGTAAATGAATTTCACCATTCCATGCAACATATTCATGATATTAACGAGAGAGCATTCTATATCTAAAAGGCATTACCTGAGAGAAGTGAGCAACGATTAATGAAATTATTGTACTCTACCAATAAATCATTCAGAATGTTTCAACAATTCCCTCAATGGATGTAGGACACAACTAATTACCGCCCTTGAATTGTTAGGGAAACTTTTGACAAACTATTCCAGCTCTTTTCAGAATAGCGTATTGCTAGTATGATGTTGCATCACACCGTACATCACTTTCTAGATAACATTCAGAAAGAGATTATGGATCGAAGGCAGTAAATAAATCACATTGTGGTTCTTCCACACAACCACTACACATGAGTGCACTCAGTGTCCATACAGAAAGCAACACCACTTCTGGTAGATCTGTCAAGGCGTGAATGTGATTGTGGTTGTTGGAGGATGAAATTGATGTCATGCGTCCACATGCATGTTGTTTTCAATTTTCCTAAGTGTCGTGTAGATGAACTTATCTTAGGGATATACGAACTAGGGATGAGCAAATAGGTCATGGAACCGTGGGTCGGGGTGGCTAATAGCTATCGGGATAAGTTATCGACGGTTCCTACGCTTATGATAACCAAACGGGGCGGGACAGGTTATATATAATATAGGGACGAGGCGGTTCCCAAATGGAAGAAAAACAGGTGCTTAGACCTACACGTTAAAATTTATAATTGGGAAAATCGCATATATGATCCCTCAGTTATCCACGAAATTAAAATCTCAGACCGATATTTCTGAGATTGTAAATGTCACACCTCAATTGTCCAAAATGGTGTAAATGTGGTCCTTTTGAGGGGTGGAATATACAATGTGGGCGAGAGTACATTTAACCACTTAAGGGACCGCATTTACAACAATTTGGACAATTGAGAGGTGACATTTACAATCTCAAAAATACAGGTCTGAGATTTTAATTTCATGGATAAGAGAATTACTCTAATCCGTGTAGCACATCAGCAATATTAAGGCCATATATGTTTTCTTTTATCTAAGAGAACTTAAAGGAAGAGTTATGAACGAAGATTTGTCTATGAAGAGTCATGTATTCTCTATTCTAAAGAGTGACGTTGTGAACCAAGAGTAGTGTGCGACCCTATGACCATCCGAATCGAAGACTCCCTCACACTCACAAGCCTCAAGCACCCACACCCTCATATGGAGGAGCATAGGTTCATTTCTTATCCAAACTTTTTAAAATGTACTCCGTATAACTTGTCTTCGATTGAATTGATATATGTGAAAGGTTGGCTAAATTTTACAATGATTAGTTTTTACAATTTTGCAGCTTACTATTTTGTACATTTTGAAGTTGTTTGTATACATGTGAAGACTTTTTTTTACATTTGGTGGCTTACTGCCTACTACAGGTATGGATTATTTTCTAATGAATTACTCCCTTTGTTTCTAAAAGGATTGCCAAATTTGACTGACACGTAAAATAATAAAGCAAAAAACTATGTGTTAGAGATTCGTGCAGAGAAGAGAGAAATAACAGGAGCCACAAATTGATTGATCAAAAGGGAAAGTGCTAAAGTTTTTGGAACACCCAAAAAAGGAAGTTGTCAAAGTTACCGGGGAGGAGGGAGTATTCAACTAAAATTTTGTATCAAAATCATTCGACTTTTTAATACTCGGTATTATTCATAACCAAGTCTGATCCCCTTAACATGATTTTCTGACTCCCCAGCTAGATACAGGTAGTATATTTTTGTTGAGAATTAATTAATTATGATGTTATAGCAGGTAAAAGAGTGGATGATTACTATTAAATGATTTCCTATCTTGATATTATTATAAAAGGACAAACAATAAGAAATGTTTATCAACAGAAGAGGACACTTAATATAAAACAAACTCGTAATTAAAATATACGTAGTAGTTTGCGACTTTTCGCCATTCATGGTGTATGGTATGTACCTCAGACTGAAGCCGATGAAGCAACCTATTATCCACCGTGGAGGAATGGCAGCTCACGACGTCAAAACCTCCGTTTTCCAGCGTCCGTAGCACTCTTGACAGTGGAAACCGACCCCTCCCGCCGCCGTCAAAACTGATCAGAACCTCAATGCCGTTCCGGCAACGGCTAACCGATACGAAACTCCGGGAACCCGCAGTGACGATCTTCTTATCCAAGCTTCCGTTTTTCTCCAAATCTTGGAAACCCGAAGTCCCCGCCGCCGTCGACGATGCCGCCGCCTTTAACCTGTCTCTCTTCCGTCCCAATTCTTGAATGCTTTTCTGCATATGTTTTATGTAGTTCAGTGCCTCGTGCATATGATCCGACGTCGAACGCTTGCCCTGTCCTCATAAATTACGAAGTAATAAAGTGTTATATTAAGATAATTTCATATCGTGGTCAAGATTCATTTGACCAAAATTCAAATTACCTTTACATATTCGACAGGGAGGAGCGAACGGAGAGAAGAATAGAGGGTGGCCATTTCTTGGCGGCGCTGCCGTTCGATTTCCCGGTGCATAATTCTCTTCAGCTTGTTACTGTCAGTCGCAGCGGTGGCGGTGGCGGTGACGGTGGTTGCTAATACTTCATCTCTTTGTAACCGCTTCCTTGAGGAATTGGCCGCGGTTGCGGTGTAGTGGTGGCCGTGGTGGTCGGTGGTGGCATCTAGCGGGGGATAACTGTAAATATAATTATTATTATTATTATTATTATTATGATCGGAAAACAGATCTTCGGAGAGCTTGTTTTGATGGGAAGGGATATTAGGATTGGAGAAAATTTGGAACAACAAATCCTCACTTCGAAACATGGCTCCGACTAAAGCAAACAAATTATTTAGTTTATGAAACTTTGTTATATATATAGTAAGTTTTGAGGTTGTTGTAAACAATTATAGTACCATATCAATTAAAGGTAGCAGATGACAAAGTAGTTAGGATTGATCAATTTTTAGTTACAATGGCACCATGATTTGCAGCAGAGAGCAGAAGTAAACTAGACGATGTAGTCACTGTCTGGCCTCACCCAATCGATCTCCGCGGCCCCACCCAATAATGTACGTATTCCACTTTTTTAAATGTAATTCATTTACACCTGTCAAAATTATGGGATCCTTTTTTGAGATTTTGCATTTAATAAACAAATCAAGGTACTCTGTTGGTCTCACAAACTTTATAAAGTTAGCTAACTGTTATTTTGGTTTAGGTGTTTCAAAAGATTTCATTATTTTCAACTAAAATAAGAAATTGTGGTTACAGTGAACTAATTTCAATCGCAGTATTCCTACTTTTTTTATTGACATATTACCAAAAAATAGATAAAACGCAAAAAAGTGACATTTTTTTATTATTTCACAAAATTTGGCCTTTGATGACAGAGTGACTGATTCCGGCCACAATGACATCTCAACAGTCACTCAGGTAAGTTACAGTGACACTTCTACAGTGATTCCAGCAAGTCACAATGACAACACCACAGTAACTCCGATAATTGTGACACCGTCAAAATGAATCATCAATGCCAATCATCACCACCGGTCTCTCACAGTGACATGCGACCTCCAACCACAGTGACACACCGTCTCCCATCCTTTCTCTAATTCTCACAGCCCCCAACCCCATCCTCAGCCTACCCCGACCTAGCGTCATCGTTGACCATCATCGCAGACCGCCGCCGCCAACCGCCACCCCACCCTCGTCTTGCTTGACTCCCCAGCCTCCACTGACTTCCCCAGCCCCCAACCCCATCCTCAGCCTACCCCGACCTAGCGTCATCGCTGACCATCATCGTAGACCGCCGCCGCCAACCGCCACCCCACCCTCATCTTGACTCCCCAGCCTCCACTGACTTCCCCTTCCCCCAACCCCTTCTGATCCCCCAACCACCTCCTCAGCCCCCAGCCACCTCCCCATCCCCCCAGCCCCCTCCTAGCCCCCATCCTGATCCCCATCTCCATGGCCCCAATCTCATCTCCCCAGCCCCACAATACCCTCCCTCGCCCCCAGCCCAACAACAACGCACCCAGTCCAATCCACAAAGTCGCACCGCAGCCCCTCCAATTTCAATCTGGAACACAGATATGAAAATTATAAAGGAGAAGAAGGAGAATAAAGGACTTGTCTCTTGGTAGTCGTCGCTGATTTTAAGAAAGTCGACGAACCTTCAACGAGATGTAGTAGAGAGGAGGAACGGCGGCTTGGAGCGCCGGAGAAGGCGGTCGATCTACACCTTTCGTCATAGCCATGGGGCTGTGTCTCGGACTCCTATGTGTGGATGGCTCCATGGCAAAGATGGGTGTTATGCGAAGAGAGAAGCCTCTGACCTTGTCCAGAGAGCGACATGCGAGCGAAGAGGTGGACGCTCTAGGCGTGGGAAGAGATATCGACAAGTTGCGCCGGGAGAAAGGTATTTTAAAGGGAAAATTCCTGAAATAGGATTAAAACAGTTTGAAAATTCCAAAATAGGACTAATTACTGCCATGTTCAGAAAATATTGCCATGTTTGAAGTCTGGTACTGCCAAAACACGGCAGTAATTAGTCCTATTTTGGGAATAAAAACATGACAGTCCTATTTTGGAATTTTCAAACTGTTTAGTCCTATTTCGGGTAATATCTCTATTTTAAATGGTCATATTTTTGTCCAAATGTAAAATGGTCATATTTTTATCCATGCAAAATCTCTAAGTAATATTTTTGCAATTCTTTCTTTTTTATTCCATGTGCATATCAAGTTTGGGGAATATTTATGGGATACATCGAGTATTTGTTATACGAGATCAATCAGATAAAACAACAACTCATTACAATATTATATGGAGTGTATTGGTTTGGTTTAATATTTAATACACCCTTGCCCCTTCTCAGTTATTCATTTCTTACTTTCCAGTACCTCTTTGAATATTTAATAATTTTTTGTATATATTTATATACAAAAGTATTTATAATATTCAAATGAAACGAGAATTTTCTTTGCAAAAAAAAATAGCATAGAAATGTAAAATTTATAATTTATAATTTATAATTTATAATTTTCGCAAAAAATAAACTTCTATTGATCCAAAAGTAACTTTTACTATTTCCAAAGCTTCTATAGCCAAAGATGCAAATTTTGCTTTAGGTGAGATTTAATACTCCCTCTATTCCATTTTATATAACATAATTTTGTTTTTAAGTCATCTCAAAATAAGTGTCATATTTTATTTTTGACAAAAAAAATAGTCCCTCCGTTCTTATTTAAAAGTGCCTCTTGGAATTACATACACACAATTTAAGAAAACTGCACGGTGTGATACTGTTTGACACTGTTTTGACACTGTTTTGCACTGTTTGACACTGTTTTGCAGTGTTTTGTTTACCAAATAAGGAAAGAGGGTTTTTTAGCGACGGCCCGAAAAGAAAGTGGGATGTTTATTTAGGGACGGAGGGAGTATGTGGTTTGCAACATTTCACTTTATTATACTCAAATTTCAATCACATTTTTTACTTTTTCAACCACTTTATTAATAATTGAGTCAAATGAAAACAAGACCCATAAAATAGGACTGGTGTAGTGTTTGTATTAAAAAAACAAAATAGAAAGATTTCAACAAATAAAAAAGCATTTGCATATATATACTCCGGATACAATATTTTTAAAACTTTTTACCTTCTAAATCAGGAGGCCTATTAACAATTCTTATGCGCTCTAATTTATGGTTTTGTGGGATGTTCACACCACCATGAGTAAGGATGTTTTTATTTGATCTTATTTCAATTCCATATCAAATCAGGTTAGTTCAGATTAGACAACATCGAACCAGACCATATCATACCAAACCAAATAATATGCACAGAGATCAGACATCTATCAATAAATCAAGCCCGTTTGATAAATTAACTTTTCAATAAATAAGTTTTCGTCCGTCAACATTTTTACTAAACACTCAACATTTGAAGTATGGGTCATCCTAAAACAGTCTCTCTGTGCTTTAGTACAGAGGTAAAACTGCGTACATGCGATCCCCCTACCCCATCGTAGGTGGGAGCCTTTGCGGCACTAGGGTAAATGAAAATGACTCAACATTTGAAGTAGGTTAAGGTTGTGCTTGTATGATCATTTTTGCTCAAAATGGGCTGAAATTTTTCAATTTAGATAACTAATTCACTTATGACCTTGTTTAGATGAAGAGATGAACTTGGCATCCAGTTATTCAGATCTTACGTTGTTTCCATAAACCATTTGCTTTTATGACATTTTTACATTTGTAGTCCTTATTTCAATTGTGTTGTCAAACGCGTCTACTTGGTCTAAGTATCATTTCATCATTTTCAACAACTTTTATCCAAAAAAATAGTCTCTAAATTAAACAATGGACTTCACCTCCAGTTCACTCTTCCAAAATAGGCTCATCAAATTTAAGAGATTGTAACTTTCCCAATTTTTTTCAAATCTGAACTAAAATTGACTTCTAATATTTTCGTGCATCGCATTGCCTACATGTGAGATTGGTCCAACCAAACGAGCCCTTGGGTTCTGGACTTTTCCCCTTTTTCTTTGTCTTTTCAGCAAGTTTTTTGACACCATTTTTTAATTGAAAGTTTAGGTACGAGAGATCTGTATGTTTATTGGTATGGGTACTGCCGCTGAGTACTGACTCTTTTATTTATGGTTTCCGACTTTCTGCCACACCATCAGCCCAACCCTTTAATATTTCCAAGTCAAGATAATGTAAACTAAATGCATTTTCTTATTCCTCAAAAGAAAATGTGGTAGGGCATAGGGGCTTTCAGTTTGTACTTGTTCGTTGGAAGATAATCTTTATCATTTCTAAATTTGGGAAAAAAAATTATGTACCGGTGGGCGTAGCTCAGCCGGTACCAAGAGAGTACCATAAGGGTTAGGTCCCGAGTTCAAATCCCGTCAACTGCGATGAGAGGTTACTATGCTAAAAACGCATAGGACCTCTGCAAGTACCGGGGATAGAGCCTCACTCTCTATCTGTTAGATTGTGATTATAGTCCAACTTACATCCTCCCAACGTACAGTCCGGTCGGGGTTGGGGGCCCTCACGGATGGGGTGTCATCCTTTTGGGAAAAAAGTTTGTGTTCATGTTATAATATTTTCATTAGAAGTTAGAGTGGAGGAACTAATCGAAAGCAAAAAATATCTCCTTGGAGAAGTCATATTTGTATTGGCGTAACAAATATTAACAAATATCGAATGGCTAGCGGAGTTTGGATCAAGACCCTCTGCCATAAGGCAGAGTGCCTTGCGACATCCGACGGCAGCGAAGCGATGAGCAGGATCTCGAGATCGGCAAAGGAGTGGAGCCCAAGATCTTCGGCCGTCGAATTTCCGATCTGACGGAGGCAAGCAGTCAGGCACCCTCCTTGGCTGCTTAAGTAAAGGAGAGACGCCCGATCCGCGAAGTTTGCGATGATTGTGCTGGTGGTTCAGTCCGGTTGGCCCCCTCCTGAACTCTGCCACGAGTGAACGAGTTGTTAGTGTTTAGACCTTAGAAGATGACGCCTCAAATTGGGATTTGGCTACATATGATTTTTTTATATATACAGAAATTTTATTTATTTTGTTAGACAATTCCTTTAGTTTTCGGATTCTGTGTGATTGGGTTAGTTTCTTGGCGTCTAAT